CACTAGGTATAGTCAGTGTCACTAAAACTGTAACAGCAACCTGGAGTAACTGGGTAGAAAAGATTCCATAGACTGAATTGGGTGAATCTCGACAGACAGAGTTTTAACATGGTCAGCTGTGATCAACGTATCCTCTGCTGTGGTCTTCCCTCCAGTACTAAGGCTTTGTCTATCCAAGTGTTTCAGATTCCTTATCCTCTGCTGTGGTCTTTCCTCCAGTGCTAAGGCTCTGCCTATCCAAGTGTTTCAGATTCCTTATCCTCTGCTGTGGTCTTCCCTCCAGTACTAAGGCTTTGCCTATCCAAGTGTTTCAGATTCCTTATCCTCTTGGTGGACTCTGGCATTGTTTGTAAGAAGAGTTGGTCATAGGCACTACTTTTGTAACAGGTTGGGTGAATGTACCTGATGGGGATTTGAACCTGTGACCTCCAAACTCAGATGGACGCTACTGTACCAGCTGAGTTACCTGGTCAGTGGTCCAGTCCAGATCCTCCGTGTAAAGGTAGTCTCCGAAAGTCAAGAAAAGTCTCGGCATTATCATATAGACTTACTTTATGTTTTCCGCAAAGGGGTTGCGGTGGCCACTAGTGGTTAAGGCGTCTGACATTCTGACTTCCACTAGCCTTCAGCCCTCCACCACAGGGTCGCGGGTTCGAGACCTACGTGGGACAGTCGCCAGGTACTGACTGTAGGTCGTTGGTTTTTCTCCTGGAATTCCGGCTTTTCTCTACCACCAAAACCTGGTACTTCCGTAAATGACCACAGCTGATAATAGGACCTAAAACACAAACAAACATGTTTTGCCCGAGTACTAGAGATGCATGTCTGCAGGTTTTGTATAGTAAATGTCTACCCCATGCTTGGCATTCTGAGCCATGCAGTCTCGTAACAGGTGTCCTCTCGTATCAGGTGTCCTCTCGGCATATCTCACCTGTACTTGATACCGCTATTCACAAGATTATGGTTTTAGTATCATAATGATATGGCAGAATATCAGATGTTCCTCCATTGTACTCTGCCTGTGGTTTCCTATATCTAGCAACAATTAAATTTATATTGGAAGTTTTTCATCAAACACATTCCGTATATTCAATCTGTATTGATATGACAACCACGTGAATTAGACGTGAAATTTTGAGCTGATAATGATAAAATCGTAATGCAGCTACGATCAACAATACACTAACAAAGCGTCCTGTCTGTGGGAGATAATGTGGGACCCAGACCCTGTCAAACCTAAAGAGAGTCCCTCCCTGTGTGCCAGCCTACAGGCTATCTCTATAAATCACTCTTTATGTATTATCAACAGTTAACCCAATGGTCCCCATCAACAGTAAAAAATAGGAGTAAATGTTCTCATGTACTGAAATAAGAAAGTACATGCTTTCAAAGCCATCATTCCAGTATCTGTATATATATTCATATGCAAATAAAGTAAGAAATTGTTGTCCTCAAACTTACCATAGGCTATGATAGCTCAACACCAATTAAGTTAAAAACAAAGTTTTTTTCAAACTTCACATCAATAAAGTAAAACAATTAGTCAAAAACAAAGCTTCCGGTTGTGAGAAATGGATGTCCTTTAATTTACAATAGCACAACACCAATTAAGTAAAAACAAAGGGTTTCAAACTTAAGTAGCCCAACACCAATACATTAAAAAAATACTCCCCATGTACATTCTTTCCAATTCCGATAGTCAAGCACCAATAAAAGAGGAAGCTGATTGAGGTAAATGGTCTCAAACTCCAAATGTCAAGTATCAATAAAAATACAAAATGAATGCCATCTTACATCAACTGTTTCAGTGAAAAATGTATGTCATCTTCATTTTATATTTTGAAATGACAGTAGATAGTATGTAGCACATGTACAAAGTAATACTAGACGTCGGGTGGCTCGGCTTTCTCCAAGACAGCTAGGGTTTGATTCCCCAATCAGGCATGAAAAGGTGTGGGGTAACCTGCCCGACCTCTTGGGTTTTCTCTGGGTACTCCAGTTTCCTCACACAAAACTCAGCGTGATAAAAAGGCCAGAAAGAGTGGTTAAATATAAGTTGAAATAACTTTTTTCATAATTGTTGTGAAATAAGTGAAGTTTAAATAATACTAGACCGGGTATAACAGACAGAAAAACAATGTAATGCAATATTTCAGGTCCTATGACAGCTAGGTGTTTACTACATCTCCAAGGAAAGTAATAAGATAAGGAATGGATATATTAAAAACATTATACCATAGGTATTTACCTTATAAATAGACACTGTTAATACAGTATGATACTAGCCAGTCCACATACACTTTTATACGAAGGAGTGAGCACGCCTTAGTCAATGAGCCAAGACATTTAACGTGACGGGTCAGGTTTTGTGAGTATTGTAGAGAGCAGTACTTCGTTACTGCTGTATAAGTCACAGTTCTACACCCTGAAGTACTGGAGAGCTCCTGGTACCTAAATAGTGATGTTCTATCTATTTCACTCTGTAAAAGATATCATAAGCATATTTAGAGGTGATGAGGTTCAAAATATTTTTAAAATGTATCAGAATAAATTCCAAGAGCCACTAAAAGCCAGTACGGTAAATTTTGTTGGAAGAGACCTGGCCCTGTAACTCACCAGAGCATACAAGAAGGTGACTAATGCCATCAGTATCGCATCACTTAAACTTTATAAAAGGTTTGCACCTCTATAAAGAGACCTATGTGTCTCTGTGGTTTAAGTTGAGGAGGTGGAACCAGTGCACTGTCATATCTATAGGGTGGTCTCGAAGAGAAAAAAACAAATTCTGAGTACACATATTGTGCATCTGACAACAGTCTAAGGGATACCTGATAATATTTCATCAACAGATAAAGAAAGATGAGGTGAGAGGAGACTTTCTCACCTGTCTAAAGAGTCATCTGTACAGGTATACACTGCGTTACGAACTTATAATTACGTGTTAGCGGAGAGTTCATTAGCGGAGGCCAGGCAGTAACATCACCTCCGCTTGTTACACAACACCAGAATCGTAACATGATCTCGTCCTGTTTCACAGTCCATACAACACTTGATATGTAACACGATACTTTCTTGTTTCATGGTTCAATCATCAAGTGATCCTATGTCCTGGTCTATCACGTGAGATGTAAGTGACAGAGTGACAAGATATGACAATCGGTATGTCACGCTTTCTTGGACAATAAAATCTACTGAAGTTTCTAAGTTTACTATCAACATCTGTTGGTGGCATATTGAATAAAAAGAAGTCAATGATTCTGAACCAAAAATGTGATCCCTAAAGATAGGAAAATGTTTATCCATGATAATGGATACTGTCAAAGATGTTAACGAAGCAAGTATTGAGAAAATGGTGATGTACATGTTTGTATGGCGTATATCATATTGGCTATGATGCTATCTTGCTACCTCTTCATCACAACCACTTCAAATGGTTCATCAGAATATCTCTCTCTTGAACATGACTGCTTTAAAATGTCTGTCAGACGAGATCAATCTCTTGAACATGATTGCTTCAAATTTCCCATCCTGAGACCTCTCTCTCTGGAACATAACTGCCTCAAATGGTTCATTATACAAATGATCTAGTACACATAACTGCTTCAAAAAGTGCCTCAATTTAGAGTTTTCTTTAACACATGAGCTTCAAATCATTCATCAAATCTCAACAGGACCGCTTCAGATTTTCAATCATGAGATAGGTCTGTCCCTAATAACCGTTTCTAATCATGACTGCTTCAAATGGCCATTGTAAAAACCTTCTCTGCAACAATGTACCTTGGAACAGTCCAATGCCTCATTTTCTGTGCGGTTTGGAAATCAGTGGGCAAAACTCACTGTGAAGCTTATCTTTGATTAGATTTCAGTTGCAAGAAAATGAAGTCACTTGTATCTATAGATGTACTTAATGTACTATTGTAAATACAACCTGCACAGTGTAACTTGTCCTATTGAAAACCTTTATAAACTGGAAACCTGTATAATTCAGACCTTCGATGTGGTCATACTACATCACTGGATCACTATATATACACTGAAGTTTTGTGTCAACATGATTTTGCTGACTCACTTTTTGTGTCGTCTGCAACGCGAGGCGACATATAGGTATTACTTTGTCGGCGTCGGCAACATCGGATGCCGCGTCCGAAAAAGGTTTCCATGCAATAACTCAAGTTCCCTTGGGTTGATTGAACCCAAACTTGGTACACATATTGCATACCGATATAGCTCGGACAAGTTCGTATTTCAGAAGTTTACGAGCATTTTTGGTAGAGGTATTTCTCTTTTATTGCCAAATAAGGGAATTGTGTTGTAAATGCAAGACCTTTTTTATTTTTTAATCATTTCCTTTCAAATTTTGTACGGTGATGCTAGATGCAATAATGTTCAACATATATGATAGGTTTTCCTGTCGAATTTCAACTTTCAACAAGCGCTGAGCAGGTGACACATCACTCCTTCGGAATTCTTGTTAAATTACAAGGGGGCCAATACATACACTCAAAATTAAAGTAGGGGTGGGCTTATTACAAGATTATGAAATATTATTAGTTGACAATTCTTCTGAGCTGTGATAGATAGGGATGGGCTTATTACCAGGCATGGGCTTATTGCTGGATAAATAAGGTGTTAAACCTTTAAAGTTGTTCCAAATTTAAATATCTCTTCACATTATTGTTCATTTTAGACAGGGTTCACATTATTAGATAGGATTGATCGTCTGTCCAGAAGTTGTCATGCCTATTTATATATATATATATATATATATATATATATCGGGATGCCATTTAACCGTGATTAAGTTTGTTAATCCAGATATTCCATTTATCTTGATATACAGGTTTCTATTATACACTGATAAATGAGGCTAACATGATGGCAGGACATCTACTGTAGTTTATACATCTTGATGAGGTCAGTTTCTAACACTTACTACAGTGAATGGGGTATCGTGTGTCTCTGAAATCGTGCTTAAGAAAAAGTGTTAATTCTTATTACAGATTTATCTCATTGGATCAGGTGAAGAACTTGAATTTCGAGACCTTGTTTTAGAAATCGCGGGCCTGGTCATCTTATCAAGTTTCCGCATTTCTTTCACAGCTGTTCATTTCATGCCTGGTGAAAATAAAGGTAAGTTCACTTTTTTCATTATTTCTTGATATCTGCATATAAAGAACATTTATTTAAACAGCCTGCGTCAATGATTTGTAACTGATATAGTCAACATTTCAGCTCCAATTTCTTTATCTTTAAAATTACGTTTTGATGATAATGGTTGTGTTCATACACAGGTGACTGAAATAGGCATTAGAGAAAAAAAAGAACACAAGCATATTCATAGGATTAAATATGAGCTATATTCGTAGCTACTTGTCAGCTGGTCCTATTTCCTGTTGGGCGTGTCTCAGAGACGGGTTGTATATGCACAAAGGATATCAAATTATGGCTCATATTCAGAAAATAGCTTTTAAGGAGAAAACTGGAATTACGTAATTGTTGAGATTCTATTCCCCTCTCTCCATCTCCAACATGTGTTGATTTTATTCACCATTTGTGTATAAATGATGGATGAAAATGTTAAAGATATAGGATTACTGGAGCCTGGTATTGATCGGGACTGCCTGCCTGCCTGCCTCCTACCCCTACCTCTGTATGTGACTACCCCTGAGTCCCCCAGCCCCTCACAATGGGGAACTACATGCACCAGATGGAGCATAAATGGCAGGTTTTGCTGGAGAGTACAGCAGAGATAGAGAGCTACTCTGACAGTAATGGATGTACTAGGGGGGCCTGCGTCCTAGGGGAGTACAATCAACGGTGATGATAATTACTGCATTGTACTAGCAGTTTCCTCTTTATCTGTAATATATAGATATTGGAAAGGAAAGAGTCCTGATTGGAAAGGAAAGGAGATATACATGGAGGAGGGGGCGGGGGCGGGGGAGAGTCACACTTGTGCTTGATGCACTGCAGCAAAATGTGGCTTCAGGGGTGAACGAGTTAAATGTGTCTTCAGAGGTGAATGAGTTAAATGTGTCTTCAGGGGTGAATGAGTTATGTGTCTTCAGGGGTTAATGAGTTATGTGTCTTCAGGGGTTAATGAGTTATGTGTCTTCAGGGGTGAAAGAGTTTAAATGTGTCTTCAGGGGTGAATGGGTTATGTGTCTTCAGGGGTGAATGAGTTATATGTGTCTTCAGGGGTTAATGAGTTATGTGTCTTCAGGGGTGAATGAGTTATATGTGTCTTCAGAGGTGAATGGGTTATATGTGTCTTCAGGGGTGAATGAGTTATGTGTCTTCAGGGGTGAATGAGTTATGTGTCTTCAGGGGTAAATGAATTATATGAGATAACATGAGGATTTGGAAGCTGGAGTTAAAGGACATTGGGACATGAGTGGGTAGGGATGGGAAAAATGGAAGGATGGGTTTGGACAAGCAGTAAGGTACACACACAAAGGACTGGAAACAGGAGGAGGAAGCACCAAGAGGGGCAGGGACAATCAGTACGGGGAGAATGACCTTTAATTGGTGATTATTTTATAAATATTTTAATTTGAAGCAGAAAATACATTTATACTGATCTGGAGCAAAAACATATACCTCTTGTAATTTATGGTATAAAGATATATTATAATACACCATTGGTATTCTACTGATCTGAAGCTAAACTATTTACCAGTGCTATTCTGTTGCTCTGAAATTAAAACAAATCATTGGTATTCCACTGATACGAAATCACAAATACTTCCTTGATAGTTACTGGTCCGGGTATAAATTGCTACTTGTTTTGAATTGGGTAGATGAGAAGTGAAGTCAGACTTCCTATGAAGTAACATAGCAGGCATTATCGTGGAGAATTTACAGTGCTTTTAATCCCAGAGGTGGGATCAAATATGATGGAATTAAGGCGTTTGCACAAGACATTGCGAGTTAAGTACCTAATGGAACAAGTTGATTACCAGGTGTCATTACTTTGGAATTACTTGCCAGAAATCCATTTCAATCATAGCTCGTTGGCTGTATGGCTTTCATCCTTCTGAAGAGTAATTACGATTTCGTGATGTGGCGTTGTGACGTTTTAATATTTTCCCATAGAACGTAGCGTCAGAACACCGCCGCAATTGTTTCGTGATCGAGAATCAATCTTACTGTCATAGGTGTTCAATCTTTTCTCCATATGATGTTTTCTTTGTTCGTGTCTTCATCCTAAGAATTTAATGAACTTTGTGTTTTTATTCACAAACTCAGTTACATAAGAGTCCTGATATAGTGTGCAGTGGAAATTTAGATTGAAATATTTGTTATATGTCTGAGGCATTAAACAGAGATCCACTTAAATGAAGTGTATTGCATTAAGAATACAATTTTATTTCAGTAGCTGGATAAAAACATACAGCATCAATTACATTCAGGGAGAGTCCATTGTTTGGAACTTTAGTGTCTTAAGAGTTATTCAGGGCTGAAATTAGCTGTAAAAACGCAATACTGCAAAGCTGGCAGTTTTGTTGAGGAGAACACTGAACTAGCTGCACCCTCTCCAAGCTTTTCGAGTCAGTTTGAATCAGTGACTTCGAGATGTCGGCTGCAGACATTAACTGTTGTTCAGCCTTATAGTGTAAAACAGGCCCTGTTTGGTATATAATATGCATGTGTTTGTCTATTTCTGGCCGTGTAACATCAAAATTCAACTTTTCCTGTATGGATGCCTGCCTTTTCTCGGCACGTAGCACATTTAAATGAAAATAGGACGTGTCATTTTATCAGATGAGTCCACATGCCCACCAGGCGAACAGATAAGTTTGTTGCATTTCTAGAATATTTTTATCAACTTTTTATGATATGCATAAAATGCAGTTTCTTAACAGCCCAGCGTATTGAATAACTCTGCCGTTCTTGTATGCTGGCTTTTGACAGAATGTTGAGCGCGTGCAGCACTTAAAACTGTGCATGCTGGAACGCAATCTCACACTGCAACTAGAATTTCATTTGACAAACAGCTCTGCGAATGGATCTACCTTGTAAGCGGAAAGCTCGCGATGGTTGTGGTGGGCACATGCATTACACTGCAACAGCAGCCTGTATTTTTATGTACTGTCAGCACCGGGCTCTGTGCATGTACATGGTGTTCGGCAGTATTCTTGAGATTCATTCCAATGTATAGATCATATCTTTGCATGTATAGCCAGTGCTCAATGGGCCCAAGTCACATACTTGCATGTGTTCTCTTGTACAAAGAAATATCCGGCATTTGTTTCGTGGTTTAGCTGTTTGAGAACATGCTTTCTTGAGGCTTGTTATCAAGATGGAGATACTCCTTTTCAGAAATGTAGAAAGTATCAGCAGGCTTGAGATGAGGATCTGTCCGGTTTATAACGCCTCACGATTTATAGATTTTTTTGAAACTTGAGTAGACATACAAATTGTTGAGTAATAGTAATGGGCAAGATGGAACAGCCATGTATACTGTTGTTTATTAGGTTTTATGTTTCTAAAGCATTTTGCTGATACAGATGTTTTGTCATCATCCGTTATGTGTGAACCTGTAGTTTGCATAGTTGTAAAAAACGTTGCTGAACTCAATATTTCCTATTCCATGGGAAATGTGACTAGATTATATTGTGATTATAGGTACACGGTAAAAGTAAGATATCGTCAATGCTAACCACAAATCCAATTAGCTAGATAAAGGCTAAATTGGGAAGTGAAGCAAATACCGAAAGAAAAAGGAGACAAAAACACAACAAAACTAGCAACTAAAAAATCATAACTTTATTTAGGCCCTTCATCAGAGATGTAGGTGCGCTACTGTAATCATGGTGTCCATCCGTCCACACTTTTCGTTTCTGGAGATTATCTCAGAATCAAAACACTGTAATATGTAAATGTGCAAAAGGGGTCAGAATTTTTTTCAAGGTCAAGGTCACTGTTACCAATAAATTTAAGGATGTGTTGACGGGTGGTGATACAGTCAGACACATGGCGGGCCATTGCTGACCTTTCAGTGTTCTAGCTGGAATCGGCTGCAAGGTCACAGTCGCCTAGAAGCTTGTATGTTAATCCTACATTCTTCTGTTGTGAAATTATTCTTTTTGAAATTTTGACAATGCAAACCAAATTTTGTTGATATTAAGTGCAAAAATCTGTTCCTTTTAAACTGTACAGCAGATTCTATGGGATAAAAAATAGAAAGTTTTTGATGTTGTGTAACAGATCTTGAAGTAGTTTCAGTTTGATAGATTTATGGAACCCGTCACAAATTTTCCATATCAACTCACCAGATGCCCTCTGAAATGAAAAATTCTTTGCCTCATTTAAAAAAATCTCACATGAAATGGGAACTCAGGCACAATCCTATATAAATTTTGTATTTGTATACAAAAAGTCAACCAGACACTCTAAATGTTATCTGTAGCCCTGATGGCATATTGTTCCTGTATCAGTAAGATGTTTAATGTCAAGGGTATTTAAATGCATTTAGCATCAGTTCTATAGGTGTGTGTTTCCTGGATAGGACTGTCTCAGTGTAAAATAGGGCTTTCGTTGCATACTAAGTGGATGCATACCGTCCCCATTGAGGCTAATGTATAACAGTGCTTAGGTCAGGTTGCATGTTTGCAAATTGGTCTCCTTCCGCATCTGGGAATACCATTAAACGGTCTTGGACTGTTAATGGAGGCATGATGAATTACATAGTGCATGCTAGTGTGATCCTGGCCGATGCCTGGAACAGCTCCAATAGGATTTATCCAGCTTTAAAGTGCAGGAGAATAAAGGATATAGGGAAATAAAGTACTTACGTAGCATGTTCCGTCTGACCTTGTACACAACCTATTGGCGGTCAAGCCCAGGGTTTGGATCCTGTATCTGAGGGACGCTATGTCTTTGAACAAGGCTTCTGGCTCAAATAATTCAGTCTGCCTATGAAGTGGGGTATAATACATGGTCTGGGTTGGGTATTACAATTATTTGTGTGCTAGCACTTTGAATAAAATACAGACTGATCATAACAGACAGAACAGGTATACAACCTCCAGCAGACTTGCACTTTACACTTTAGAGGTATGGTCCTTGTCTGGACATCCTCATCCGGCATGGAAAAGTCCTGAGGCATCCATAGCCAGCACAGTACA